ACCGGGGGGGGGGGGGGGGGGGGGGGGGGAGAGAGAAAGAAAAGACTTCATATTCTACCACGTTTACATTTGTACCTTGAATGGTGAATGGCCCTGTACAGAAATGATACCTACTTAGATGTACAAGTTGGAAATGGCTGAGATATTTCTGCCTGCCATACTCAGGTTGGATTATATGTGTGGCAGTCTTATCATGCACAATGGTTGAAGAATTGGTAGGAGCAACCACCTTGGTTTGCTTTGCAAAGCTGGCTACTGCTAACTTCTCTTGTGAGGGTGGGCAGCATTGTGATCTAGAAAATGACATTTAAATGCAAGTGCTCTTCCTGCTTCAGTAGTTGCAACATGTCATTTATAAATGGGACTCTTCTCTTTGAGCTATGATGTAACCTAGAAAAGAAGGAAAGAAGCAAAGCAGGAGCAGGCTGTTGGCAAGAAAAAAAGCAGCAGTAGTTCATGTGCATATGACAGAAGCAACAAACATCAAAGGACGCTGTAGGACACTGTTTGGATTGCCTGAAAATTGAGTATACCTTGACAGCAAGCCAAATTCACACTGGGAATATATTTCTCCTAAGGCTTCAGCTGAGTGGCAACCAGTGATCTATTACCAACTGGGTTTCTTATTAGAGGTTTAGAAGGTTCCAGCCGATTGTAACGTTTCTTGGTGATAATGGTTGCAGCAGCCTGTTAGAGGTTCTAGGCCTACTTTTCAGGCTCTTTCAGAAGGGTGTTCCCAGAGCTTTGGTTATTCATGCATAGTAAGAGGGGAAAATGTTATGAAGAAATGCCTTAAACTCATAAAAATGTTCTTGTTCTGTTCTTTTTCTTCTTTTAACAGTTGCCACCAATGCCAAAAGATTATAGCATTCAGTTGAAAGAACTGATAAGAACAATGCTTAGTAAAAAGCCAGAGGAGAGACCAAGTGTCAGGAGCATATTGAGGCAACCATATATCAAGCAACAAATCTCTCTGTTTTTGGAAGCTACAAAAGCGTAAGAGAAGTTTAAATGCAAAATAATTTGAAGCAAGGTGTTTAGTGTTATCGCTGGTGTTATGCCATCCTGAGGTTCATACACTGGATTCAATAATGGATTCTTGAGACAGGGTTGACTTGGAAACCCAGCCCATCTTTATTATACATACACATAGAACAAAGAAACACTTAGTAAACCTTTGGGTTAGTTTCACATTGTAACCCAAACCATAGCTCCCTTTATATTAGTTGGTAGCCACCAAACCTCCCCTTCATGGATCACTGCCTTGTCGTGGCGAAGGGGCTTGCGTAACTCAG